TCCTTCCTTCCTTTCTTTCTTTCTTTCTTTCTTTCTTTCTTTCTTTCTTTCTTTCTTTCTTTCTTTCTTTCTTTCTTTCTTTCTCTCTCTCTCTCTCTCTCTCTCTCTCTCTCTCTCTCTCTCTCTCTCTCTCTCTCTCTCTCTCTCTCTCTCTCTCTCTCTCTCTCTCTCTCTTTGCATTTGGCAAAAATTTTGTGCAAAATTGCATTTGTGTTTTCTCTGTGTAGTCCTCTTTTTTGCAAAAGTGTCTGAAAGAACCATCCTGTGATGACTGCCTGGGATTTCTATTTCTCCTTCCCCCCTTCTTTCTTTGTCCTCCCCTAAATAAATCATTGCTCTCTGATTAAATTGAGAGTTTTAAGAATTGTGGCAGATGCCGTTTATGCAGCCTGGGGTAATCTCTTTCAGGTACATTACCCTGCTCTAGAGTCTTCCCTTAATAAGTGGCACATTAGGCACAAACAGCAGGTTGCTGCAGCTGTAACACACTGCTGACAATTTCTGCCAGACTTGTAATTCAGCTAAAATAGCATCAACTAGCTTTCTTTTTCATTTTTTCCCCTTTTTCATTGCCAACAGAGGCTAGCAGAAAGAATAGAGTTTTTTTTTTTTTTTGCTAGATTAGATTGCATTTATTGAACCATAGATGGAAGTGGGGGAAAGGAAGGGATGCTGCAATGGAAGCACCTAAACTTCATTGAAACTAGTATGCAACTAAGCTTGTGTGCTCTGTGGGACCAAAAGAAACTTACTAATCTGTGCAGGTGAAACACAAAACTACTTGTGCACCTCGACTTAGAGTAGCCTGCCTACTCAGGGGTTGCCACAAAGAAGAGGGAGTCAAGCTATTCTCCAAAACACCTGAAGGTAGGACAAGAAGCAATGGGTGGAAATTAATCAAGGAGAGAAGCAACCTAGAACTAAGGAGAAATTTCCTGATAGAACAATTAATCAGTGGAACAACTTTTCTCCAGAAGTCATGAATGCTTCAACACTCACTAAGAAGAGATTGGATAACCATTTGTCTGAAGTACCTTCCAACTCTGTTATTCTATTTTAGCCACTGTGAAAAAGAATAGCTTGGAAAAATGGCCAGTGGTTTTGATAAATTCCAGACTACATAGCCCAGAAGGCTTGAGTTACCAACACCTTATGTTGTTGGTGGCTCTGTGAAAAACCGGTGACTTGTTTTGTTTGATTTTCAAGCTAATATTAGTGCAGAGATACACAATGTAACGTTCCGGAGCTGGACACAACTTCTTGATTTATGCACAAACAAACAGCAAGGCTTTCCAAAAGTGCTGCCAACTGGAATGAAGAGGACTGAAAGGAGAAGTTATTAAATCCATGGGAAGCAATCCCAGCTAAAGTAGGTCAGGTGTGCATTTAAATAGGAACAGATTTGACGAGGTTGAAACACAGTGAAAACAAAATTTCCTTTTTTGTCCAGGCCCACCTTTTTTTTTTTTAAACATGGCCCTGACTGACTGGATACAAGGAGGCCAAGACTATTACAAGCCAAAAGCATGTGGTTAAAATAAAATGCCATTTTGCCATTTTTTTAAATTATTTTATAATTACCATGCCATTTCAAAGCTAGTAGGCAAAATACCAGACAACTGCCCCATGCCAGGATATAAATCCCGATTTCTGCTTTGGATGCAGTGATCCTGCCAGAATAGAACATATTTTCTCAAACAACCTATCAGCTACCCTTGTCCCACACAATATTTTTTCTCTTTGCATGCCAATCTTGGTAGCTGCATCAAAATTAATTCATACCATTTCTCTGTTACACCCAAACAGCAAATGATGGTTTTATTAATAAACTTAAAAGCCTGGTTTCATATAGTGCATCAGAGACCCAAGGCTGATCCTTGGTTTCTCAGTTAAGACATAGTCTAACAGGTTCTAGATACCAGCAAAGATCTCTAGATGTCAGGAGAGGAGAGAGGAACCAAGACCAGTTCTATACAGTTCATTTAATAGGCAGTGAGTGGGATTCATGCAAACTCTCCTTCTGAAACGTATTAAGCTGGGATATTTATTTCCAAACCAATTCACTGAGAACATGTAAGAAAGGATATTATCATTCATTTACTCAAGTGGATCCTGCTGGCATGGTAAAAACTGTACATCAAAAGGGACATAAAATTCCAGGCAACTTCCCGGCCCAGATCTGGATGAGTATCGTACTAACTTAGAGCTCCCCATTGGCTTCTAAACTAGAAGGAACCAAAGATAAGTTATCAGACAGCAGAGGTTAGCTTAGTCCTTTTCTTGACTTAATATTTTTTCATAACTGGATTTATGCCACACACCAAGCCAGGAGCGGGATCTGTGTGGGATCCCTATTTTGGGGGCTCCAAAGACTGCATTAGTATCATTGCCAGACTGTACAAGGGAAACATTTTGGCCCATTTTTAGGGAGGAAATATGGAGATTTTGAGACCAACCCCCCCATCCCTTCCCCTTATCCATCCCTGGAAGTGATTGAATCCTTGATAGATGATCCCCAAGTTGACATGCAGAAGGGGAGAAATTTGGTGAGAATAGAGAAGTTCATTTACTTCTAAAGTCCCTTTGAAGTAGCTTTTCCAGTTGGGTCCCTTTCTAAGATTGCCTTAAATTTTCATACAGGTAGTCCTCAACATACGGCTACAATTGAACCCCAAATTTCTGTTGTTAAATGAGAAATTTGTTAAGTGAGTTTTGCCCCATTTTACCACCTTTCTTGCCACAGTTGTGAATCACGGCAGTCATTAAATTAGTAACGTGGTTGTTAAGCAAATCTGGTTTTCCCATTGATTTTGCTTGTCAGGAAAGTCACAAAAAGGTGATCACATGATCCCAGGACACTGTGATCATCATAAATATGAGTCAATTGCCAAGTGCCTGAATTTTGATCAAGTGACCATGGGGATGCTGAAACGGTTGTAAATGTGAAAAATGGTCATAAATCATTTCTTTCGGTGCTGCTGTAATTTTGTATGGTCACTAAATGAACTGTTGTAAAATCAAGGATTACCTGTCCTAATCTGGTCATCATAGGCCAGGTAGGCTGAGGTAATATAGAATTGAAGACTAATTCCTCTGGAGGACAGCTAGCTGGAGAAAGTTTCTGTAAGGGAAATGTTAATATTACAAGTCTGAGAACGCAGCAGATATTGGATATTACTATATTTCCCATGAGATAGTTGCTCTGTGCTGTTAAGCATTGTCAAAATTGAATCTTGCCACACAAAGATGAAGAATGTGACAAAATAATTGTGTCAAGCACATTTTCATATGCCTTCTTATAAAGTCAACACATTCCATTAATTCTGTTAATGTAAGATGCTATATAGAAGATGGCAAGCACATTATGATGAAACTACATTCAGATCCACATTTTTCCCATTTTTCCCACCAGTTTATTTCTAAACTTATCTCTGGCCCAGTAAAGAAGCCCAGTGAATTTGCAGTAAGGGCAAGTATTACACTAGGCAACACTTGCAATAACCGTGTTATGGGGACACAGCTCTAGTGGTGCAAGAATCCTGAGATCCTGATAGGACACTTAATCAGGCTGTTCTGTTTGTGCCAGTCATTTGAAAGCTCTATATCCTACAGTTAGCACCTCTACTCTGGTTTTCAGCTGCCATGCAACCTGTAGGCATTTCCATATTGACAGCTTCCAAACACTTGCTTTAAACATGAAAACCATGTTGACTCCACTGTCCTTATAATATTTCTTCTGCATCCTGTCACCTACCTGATAGTTTTTGCCATTGGTATAAATTTCTAGCATTTCTAGATTCACGGTCTTTTTTAAATAAAAGATCATAATCATCTTTCTTCTGCTGTAGAAGCATGCTGTCCCACCAACTCGCTGGCCTGTGAATTCATTTTTGTGTTGCATGCCCTCCTAATGTCACCTCTGCTGATAGTTGCCTCTTGCTGCATGTTGTACGTCAAGAAACCAGGGGTCTTGTTTTCGTGCTTGCTTAAGAATGTGGGTTGATATGGCAAGCTTGGGTTGTGTTTTTTTGTTTGTTTGTTTCCTTCTGCAATTCCTCCTCCTCTTCTTTTCCATATAACTTGTGTCTCTGCAGACTTCTGGTGACCACAAGCGCTCAGGCCACCCAGCCAGCAATGGCTTTGCTGGCCATGTCAACCTTCCCGATCTAGTGCAACAAAGCCACTCACCTGCGGGCACGCCGACTGAGGGCTTGGGGCGAGTCTCCACCCATGGGCAAGAGATGGAGCCAGTGGCTGAAGTAGGTAGCAGAGGCCCTTTGGGTTTTAGACACTTGTCTCTTTCCCTTTGTTTCGCTTTGTAGCATTCTGTTTTATAGAGGCACTCTTGAGTGCGGCAGCTTTCCTGTTCTTTTCTTAATTGCATTCTGTATTAAGATGACAAGCAGAATCTCTGCAGTACTTTTTCTCCTGTTACAAAAGAATGAGAAAGAAGCTAGAATACTCCCAAGATACAAACATTCCCACGTGTTGGTAGCTATAAAACCCCCAAATGGAACAGGAAGTATATTACAGAAAAGGAAATCGTTACTACTTTTGCTCAAACGTTCTCATTACTAATGGTGCTGTTGTGGCACTAAGCATCATTTTGGAAAAATTCCAAATCTTCCAAGATCCTCAACAATCTTGTTAGAAATACTGGTGTGCAGTGCCATATAGGTACACAAGAAATAACTGCAGTTCTTGCAATATTTAGAGCCATTACCATTGTGAAGCAGAGTTTTCAGAAAAGGGACTAGAGCTTCATTGACCAGTCCCACTCTGTTCCCAGAACCACACATTTCATTTTATTTTTATTGATTTGTTTATAAATAAGATTTGTATAGCTTCCCCATCTTATGTAACATAATCCTGGGTGGCTTACGAAAAAAGTAAAATGATATGAAGCATAAAAGCCTCCCAGAACACAGCCCACTACCTGGTCTTGAGCTGTTCCCAACCAAGACGTGAAAGTGGCAGGCAAGTATACGGATGTATGCACATCCCAACTTGTACAAGCGGCAGGCAAGCATATGTGTGTGCACTCCATTTGCACGGAACCATCTCTTCTCACACACACACACAGCCCAGTCCGCAGATCCGGAAAGGTTGGGGAACTCTGTCCTAGAACATTCCAGCACAACATAATCCCAAATGAACTGTAGAGCTTCCATGGGCTCCAAACTCACCACCCCAAAGCTTGTGGGAAAAACCTTTTGGAAGGCCAGGAGGAGAGTAACCTGACAGATCTCATGGGAAAGTGTGTTCCAAATTGTAGGGCACTTACTAAGAAGGCAAATTGTCTAGGTATCACCAACAGGTAACATTTGAGGGAAGGGACTTGGAGTATGCCCATTGTACAAGACCTAGTGAAATGGGAAGATGCCCCAGGGAGAAGTGGCCCACAAGTAACCTAGCCCTTTGCCATCTAGGGTTTAAAGTGAATGGGAAGCTAGTGTAGTTTACAAAGCAGTGGTAGAACACGGGCAGACCATGGGGTGCTCAAAATTACATGTGTCTTCTGAACAAGCAGTAATTTCTAGATGGTCACCAAGGGCAGCCCATGTAAAGTATGTGGCAGTAACCAAACTAGGATGTGACCGGGGAATGAGTTTCCCAACAAAATGCAACCAAATGCAGAGAAATTCCATACTTTTGTGTAGTTTATACAATTGTGGCACTGCCATTAAGGTGTGACAGGACCAAATTTTGAAACCACCTACAGTTAACCATTAATAATATCTAGGGGTTGTGATGAAATATTTTGTGAAATGCTCCTTCTAAAATCTTTTTGCTTAATCCATTTCTTACTCTACTTCTTTTTCCTGGAAATTTAGATGGCATCCTCCAAATTAATCAAAGATTCAAATCCTTTATGTATTTTAACAGACTTTTCCATGATTTGGGTTATACCTCAGAGCTAGTACACTGGGTAGTTGAGTTATCCAGTATAATCTCTCTGACGACAGGTAGACCTCGACCTTCAATCCCATTTGGAATAGAGTCTCCCTTGCTAAACAAGGCAGTTGTGATGTAAATTGCACCCTATTATACGATCTTTTTTGCCATGGTTGTTAAGCGAATCATGTGGTCATTAAGCAAGTTTGGCTTTTCCCATTGACTGCTTGTCAGAAGCCAACAAATCACGTGACTCTGGAACATTGTAACTGTCATAAATACTTGCCAAGTACCCAAATTTCGATCACACAACTCTGGGTTTGCTGTGATAAATCATAGCAATAGAAACTTAGACTTATATACCGCTTCAGAGTGCTTTACAGCCCTTTCTAAAGCATTTTACAGAGCATATTTGCCCCCAACAATCTGGGTCCTCATTTTACCAACCTCAGAAGGATGGAAGGCTGGGTCAACCTTGAGTCTGGTGAGATTCAAACTGTCAAATTGAAGGTAGCCAGCAGTCATCAGAAGTAGCCTGCAGTACTGCATTCTAGCCACTGCGCCACCATATCTCAATCCACTCACCACAGATCGTAAGTAATTTTTTCCAGTGCCGTTGTAAATTAAAACTGTTGATAAATTAATAGTTGTAAGCCAAGGACTACCTGTACGGCTTTTATCCTGGATTGTAGACATGGTGCCAGATGCCAGTGGTTTTTGAAATAAATTGTAGGAAAAGGAATCCAACAGCTCTGGTGAAAATTATTCCCCTCCCTCCCACCCCTTGCTGCTTCCTATTATTATGATTCCTAATAGAGGTCATAAATATAGCAGGCCCTGGATAAACAGCATACGGGCGTGGGGGGTGGGAATCAAGAGCTTAGCCCTTGCACAGGCTTTGCAGCTATTGAAAGGAACATATCAGTGAGATTGTAAGGAGGCTGCAAAAGGAATAGAAGGGAAAATAAGCAAACAGCCAAGAGACAGCCAGGGAGTCCATTTATAGCTAATCTCATAAATGACAGTTTAGTTCAGATGCCAAAAAAGAAACTTGGGAAGAAGGGATTTCAGATCATTCAAAGAGACTCCACCTTAGTGACTTCACTTATGTCGATGTGGGTTGGAAATTTCTTTGGCAGTTTCCCCAAGACTGTCATTAAAGATACTTTACTGAATTCTGTGCAGTTCTTGCTTCCTTGATCTTACCCAGCTTCCGGGACTTGATATTTTCCTCCACGAGGAAATCTTATCTTTGATTCTGGAGGCAAGTAGGCAAGGTTGAACTCTGCCTTCCATCCTTCCCAGGTGGGTAAAATGAGGACCCTGATCATTGGGGGCAGTATGCTGACTCTGTAAACCACTTAGAGTGGGCTGTAAAACACTGTGAAGCAGTATAGAAGTCTAAGTGCTATTACTATTTCCAAAACAAAACAAAACATCCAGACACTATGAATTCATTTTCTTTGATTTCCTGTTTATGGACACACACACAAATCCCTCCCCCCCAAAAAAAACCCCAAACAAATCCAGGAATTCCTCAGTTTCCACCATGATTGGGACTGGAAAATTTGTCATTAAGTGGCATGGTTATTAAGTGAGGCATCATATGACCACACTCAATTTTACTGCCTTTTTTGCCGCAGTCATTAAATATTACATTGCGACCTTCTGTGCTGGCTTCCCTATTGATGTGGCTTGATCATAAGTCTTTTTTTTTTTCAGCGACATTGTAGCTTCAAACCATCGTTAAATGAATGGTTGTATATCAAGGACAATCTATCCCCCTTCTTTTTAAGTAGCCTCCAGTTCTTACATTTGTTTTAGGCCACAACGTTGGAAAACAAATTAAACATGGCAGAATCCCAGTCTTCATGGGAGTCACTAAGGAGGGTGCACTTGTTTTCTGGGTCTTAGGGAAGGAAAAGAATAAGGGGATGTATTAATTAGGGAAAAGGAAAAAAAATGTTAATGGGCACTGATACAGAAAGGGGGCAGAATGCCGTCCCACTCGTTTTCGAGAAAATTTGCAGCTGCCAATTTGTATAACTAAACATTGCACTTTTATCACTATGGTGCAATTGGACAGTATGTCCCAAAGGGGGTTCTTCAGGAGGCAACTGGGCTTTCTGGTTTTTTCATTTGAAGACGTTTCGCTTTTTATCCAAGAAGCTTCTTCAGCTGTGACAGGATAGTGGGGAATGGAAGGATTTATATTCCCTGCAGACAGCTGGTCATCTGAGGGGCCATTGAAGCACTTGGAAGTTTATCTATGTCCTCAGGATCACCCGAGTTCCTGTGGTCAGCATTTTTTCCTCTGGAAATCCATTCCTACTCCCGCACCATTCAAAGGGTGTTCATCCCAAATTGTATAGATAAAAGTCTGTAGAGATTGTCAGTCATCCAAGTCATGGTGGTCCCAAAGGCGCTTTTTCAGGAGGCAACTGAATTTTCTTGTTTTTTTTCTTTTGAAGACATTTTGCTTTTCATCCAAGAAGCTTCTTCAGCTCTGACTGGATGGTGGGGAATGGAATCTCTGCAGACTTTTAGCCATACAATTTGGGATTGACACCCTTTGAATGGTGTGGGAGTATGAACTGATTTCCAGGAAAAAAAAAATGCAGATTACAGGAATCATTAGCGCTACTCAGGTGACCCTGAGGACACAGAAAAACCTCCAAGTGCTTCAACGACCCTCTAAAAGGATGCAAATGACCAGCTGTCTGCAAGGAGTATAAATCTTTCCATTCCCCACCATCTAGTCAGAGCTGAAGAATCTTCTTGGATGAGATGCGAAACGTCTTCAAAACAAAAAACAAGAAAATCCAGTTGCCTCCTGAAAAACAACCTTTGGGGCAACCATGACCTGGATGACTGACAACCTCTATAGAATTTGAAGGTATGTTTCAGAACTTTTCAACCCTCTGGTGTTGATAACTGCTTTTCCATAAAAACGTAGGTATCAACTGAATCGTCAATGCTAGCTGGAGATATATGAGTTATATAAACTATGCTAGCTTAACATAATGCCATCTTGGTGTAATAATTAAAGCATTAGGCTGGAAACCAGGAGATCGTGTGTTCTAGTCCTGCCATAGACATGAAACCAACTGGGTTTGACCTTTGACTAGTTACTCTTTCTCAGCCCTAAAAAGAAAGCAGTAGCAAACCACTTTTGATAAAACCTTGACAAAAAAAACTGCAAGGTCGTGTCCAGGCACAGTTGTCAGGCATCAACACTGACTCAAAGACAGACCCACAATGACCAGTTCCTCGTCTGGTTTTGCAAAATTGTACCTGCCCTGGATTTTGAATGAAGCTCTTCCAGGTTCCACCTACAAGAGTTCAGACGCACGAGTGTAGCCACCTCGGGTTTTTTTCACCACCCGATGAAATGCAACTGAATATATCAGATGGTTCTGCTGGAAAGGATGGTTAATTATTTTGCCTCTCCAAAGAGACAGTCACAGTGATGCTTATTTGATAATGAAGCATTGGTGTGGAAAGAAAAATGCTAGCTCTCTCTGCTATATGAGCCACAAAGTAATCACCGCTAGATGCTGCAGGAGTGAATTATCTGTACCATTAAAGTAGTCCTTAAATGAAAATACCAACAAGCAAGCCTAGATCTGCTCAGCTGGGCATAGAAGTCATTGTAACACAAGGATACCATGGGTGATTAGGGTGATGATGACAACCTTATGAATCATTTCTGTGTTCTTCCCTTTATAGTACGGCATGGGGAGCAGTACAAAAGCTTCTTTCGCCCCATTTGTGGACACCAGAGTGTATCAGACCTCTCCGACTGATGAAGATGAAGATGATGATGAAGAATCCTCTGCTACAGGTAAACTTATTTTGCATATCGCATGAAATACATGGATGAGTGGTGCGGTGGCCTAGAAGTAGAGCTCTTGCCTCACAATCAGTAGGCTGTGAGTTCAATCCTAGGTAGAGACAGATAGTTCTCTCTCTGGACATGTTGAGATTATATCTCCTGAATATAACTCCACACTGGGGACAGGAAGGGCATCTGGCCAGTAAACACTCAGCTCCATTCAGTTGCCCAGACTCCACCCTGCAAGGGATTATGGGGTCATTAAGAAGACAGCGATCGCATGAAATATATGGATAGCAAAAGGAAGGATATAAGGAAGGAACACATAGTGAAACAGTAACAGAGTCGGAAGGGGCCTTGGAGGTCATCTAGTCCAAACCCCTGCTCTCACAGGAGTTCTATACTTATTTCTAATAAATGGCTGTTCAGTACCTTCTTAAAAGCCTCCACTGATGGAGCACTTGTATTCGTGTGCAAAGCTCTGTTTGTGTGAATTGTGCACAAGCTCCATTCATGGGAGTGGAGGTTGTGTGTGGATGTCATTTGCATAAATGGAGCTGTGCGCATGCACCTGTCACTTACCTCCCTGCCCCGAGCCGGGCCACCAAACTGAAAAAGTTTGGGACCACTTACTAACAGGATTGTCATTCTGCCTGTTTTTATCTCACTTGGAATCTCAACCCAAAAAATCATCATCTGGGATCCAGATGAGGCATCTTCTTGGTAGCTGCAACTTCTCTGTGAAATAATATGTCCCTTGGTGTCCATATAGCTCCAATCCTGTTGGGCTTCTATAAAGCCATAACAACTAGTTCTTTCAATAGACCTTGGAGAAGAGTGAAATGATCAGATCCCCAATGGTAATCGATAGGAAATATGCTTGTGTTCTCCTTACCCTCCATGATGTCTGTAGTATATTCTTCAGCTGATTCTGTTTTTGTTTTTTTTGTTATTTTTCATTATTATTTTTATTTGACGACTTAATCTTTTTGTGTAAGCTGCCTAGAGTCACTTCCTGATTGAAGCATCCTATCAATTGTCAGGGAGTTAGGGAAAGAAAGGAAATCTTCAGAGCTTCAGAAAATAATTGCCTTAGCAAATAGACCAAGATGCCCTTTGTCTTTCACCTATTTCAGTCTGGGGCAATGTTGAAACAAATGTTTGACCTGCACCTACCCGTTATTCTTAATGTTCAAGAAAGTTTATGGGACACATTTGGGTTAGGGTTGGTCTTTGGCTTGTAGCATACCAGCTTTCCATTATTTTTAGTTAAAGAGAATTTATTAAAATGTAGATGATTAGAATAACAAGATGCCCAGGTACCATATTGAATGCTATGCAACCCTAGACTCAGTGGTAATATGCTACCGGTTCGGACTGGTTCACCCAATCTGGTAGTAAAAAAAGCCTCCAACGATCAGCTGAGAGTATAAAGAAGAGAAAGTGCAGGATCGGCCTTCCCACCTGCCCCTGCGCTTTTCTCTTCTTTATCCTCTCAACTGATTGGCACTGCAGGCCTCAGCTGGTGTGTGGAAAGCTGCACCCGTGCACCATGCAATCACCAAAATGGTAGTGGAACAAGTAAGATCCCACTGCTGCCTAGACTTTTGTACCATTACAGAATTGTGCAATTAAAATCTGATGAAATCCCTCAGTTACATATTTAACAAAGCTGCTGCTGTGTTTTTCCCCCCTTTTAGCATTATTTACCAGTGAGCTGCTGAGGCAAGAACAGGCCAAGCTTAATGAAGCAAGAAAAATTTCTGTAGTAAATGTGAATCCCACCAACATCCGTCCTCATAGTGACACCCCAGAGATCCGAAAGTACAAGAAACGCTTCAATTCAGAAATCCTCTGTGCTGCTTTATGGGGTATACATTTCATTATTCATGTAAATAGTAGAAATGAACTCTGATATGATTAAAAGAGAAGGAGAAGAAAAAATACTTCTGTTCAGAAGATAATAGAATTTAGCCCAGTGTTTTTATTGCAGTTCTGACTGGATATGTGGAAATGAACATGCAAATGTCAAGTCCTTAAGTAGACCATGGCCATCTGTGTTCATCAAGTCTAAACAGAGACTGTTTTTATGGTTTTGCTGGTATTGCAGTTGGAATATTTGCAAATCGTATATTTAATATAATTTACGTTAAAGTAGAATTTCCTAAAATTGGCAAGAGCTGCAATAATTATAATTCCTTGAGCTTTGAATAGGAAATGAAGTTTAATACAGCCGTCTGTTCAAAGTCCTAGCCTCTTTCTGCTTCAATGATTTTATAAATACATGCCCCCATAGAGATTTTAATGTGGAAATAATAGTCACCGGGTTAAGAAGAAAATATTAGAAAGAAAAGAGGATGAGGGGATGTTGGTGCTCTCTGAGCTTAGTGGTTTTCTTGCAGACGTTTCATTACTCAAACTGCACTGATGTTGTTATCTAGTTTGGGTAATGAAATGTCTGCAAGGAAAAAAAAAACCAGCTCAGAGAGCAACATGGACCCATCATTCCAACTCTTAGTTATAAATATTCTCTATCAGAAGAGAAGATGGCAGCTTGAAGTAGTAAAATCAGTATATGAGAGAATGCAATTAGATGTAAGAGGAATCCAAACATTCTCTTCCTGAAGTAGCTGAGTTGTCTTTGGTTAGCAGGTTACATAAAGGTGGTTTCTTACTTAGCCTGCTTTCAAGTTAGCCTGGCTCCCAGTCACTGAAGATCCACATCTAGGGTAACAAATGTGCACATGCTGTAGCAACTTAGTTCAGTCAGCTCTTTTTATCCTCAAAGGGAAGATCTCTGTATGTGTGCATTTTTTTCCTGATGTAGTTTGTATGTAATAGGAGAACCTAAGAACCTCCATCCTACACATGCCGTTCCACACATATATACTTTTACTACACAGGTCATATGACAGTGCTTTTGTTTGACTTCTTTTGCTTATAATTTTGCTTACTTCTCAACTGCATAATGGGGGTAGCATCCTATACATTTCATCCTCCATGATTTTTATGGGAAAGTCAGAAATCACTTCTTTCAATAACATCATTAGAACTCAAATCCTTTGTGCTTTTCAAATAAAACTCAGGTCCATTCAGGAAGTGTATCTAGAAGATGAAAATATTAGATTTCAAGTGTAGAAAAATCCATGAATGGTGAATATTAAGGTAATTACTAGAGTGGCTAAGACTGTGGCCCTATATCTTGATTATTTAGCCATTGAACAATGGTGTCAATGGTATCAAAACTGAGTTAAAGGCGCACATACAATCAATGAATCTCTTAGGAAGGATTCCTAACTCGGGGAAGGAAGCTGCATGTCTTGTCCTTCAGATATTCTCATATGACTTTCTCTCATTCTTGATCATAGGCCAAATTGACTGAAGTCAAGGAGGACTGGAGGACCAAAGCTTTCCTAATTTCTCTCCCTAAACCAAGGGTCTTCAAACTTGGCAAGTTTAAGACTTGTGGACTTCAACTCCCAGAATTTGTGAGCTAACATGACTGGAGGAGGAATTCTGGGAGTTGAAGTCCACAAGTCTTAAAGCTGTCAAGTTTGAAGACCCCCCACCCCCACCCTAAGCAAATGAAGTGTATAGCCAATAGTGAGACCCTTGGTTCAAATGAATAAGATGGCCAAGCTTAAAATGGAAACAGATGTTTCTGATTATACTATTTTTTTAAATACCATTCATATAAAAATCTGGATTGCAAAAACAGTCTTGAAGAGACATTCTTCACCCATTTTGCCTCATAGGATGATGAGCTGTTCCAAATGTGGTCATGCATTTTATAAAAACAATAAAAATGTTTCCTAAATATTACTTTCATCCTTATTTTTTAAAAAAATGATTTGCGAGTTAACTGCAGTGTTGCAGCTGTACTTTGATACCCATATTTTGTCATCGTTGACCCCAATTTTTGTTTCATCTCCTTTGCCTTATGTAGGTGTAAACTTGCTGGTGGGAACCGAGAATGGGCTTATGCTGTTGGATCGGAGCGGACAAGGAAAAGTGTACAATCTGATCAATAGGAGACGATTCCAACAAATGGACGTGTTAGAAGGCCTCAACGTCCTAGTAACTATCTCAGGTATAATCGCAAGACCATATCATGCTTCCATTATATTCCTGGTGTCTTCCAAACTTGTAATTCCATCTGTAGTGAAAGCCAAGGTGTATATTGCAGGTTGCGATTAAAGAAGCCAGTAAGATTGGGACTGGATCATTCTGCGTTAGCAATGACTAGCATATGTTTAGATTCTAATTTCCCTTTCATTCAAACAAGAACAGGAGACCAGTTTTACCACAACCATCCTGTGTATCCTTCAGTCTGTTCCATGCCATTCCAGATGAATTGGAAAATTAAACCATTGTCAAATGGAACAGTAGATGTACAGTGTCCCATAAGCTACAGAAATAAACAAATAGTAGATTTTTTTTATTTCATTAAGAAGAAAACAGGCACGACGTCTTAAATCACTGCAACTGGCTCACATGAATGCATGAACCACCTCACTTACTGTATGTTCAAAAATAGCATATGCTGACACACAGATCTGTGAAATCCTTGGATCAGTTCAGAGGGACCTGCTCAAATTGATTTGCTGATTTAAAAGATTCTGTTTGGTCAAATCACCTTCTAATGGAGCCCTTAACTCTTAAGGCATCACTGTAGTGCAGGGCTGCCAAACTCCCAGTTTGCGGTGGGACGTATCACCCGCTGGCCATGCCCATGCCCAGTTTAGCAAAGGGGGGGGAAAGTCCTGATACGTCACGTGATGCCACCGCAACAACATGAGTTTGACATCCCTGCTCTAGTGGATAGCTTGGCCTCAGCACTCACCCAGATCAGATTGTCTCTTCTCTTTGTGAAAGACTCTGCTTCCAATATGGCTTGTTTCTTTAGTACTTTTATCAGGTTTTCACCCTTCTGGGCTGCCAAGATGAGATGATAGAGTAAAGCAGGGGTGTCCAACCTTGGCAACTTTAAGACTTGTGGACTTCAACTCCCAGAATTCCTCAGCCAGCAAAGCTGGCTGAGGAATTCTGGGAGTTGAAGTCCACAAGTCTTAAAGTTGCCACGGTTGGACACCCCTGGAGTAAAGGATCTTAGGCTTTGCGCTTTTCACTGAAAATTCTCCTTGCTCCCTCGCTTGCTAACTTTAAGTAGTCATAAAATTGATTATATATTCATAATCACAAAGCAATAGATAATTATCTGTAATTTCTGTTCACTAAAGCAGCAATAGGTAAATGGTACTATCAGGATACATGGCCATTGACCATGCAAGCTAAATTAGAAGAGTGATTTTTTTTAAATATAATTTATATTAAGAATTCTGATTACAATATAAAAAAATGATACAAACTAAACATAAAGAGAAGAGGAAATACAGTTTTCACTAATGTTAATATAGTCTTCACTAATTTCTGGCTCTATTCTTCCAAGATCTTTAATATTTCTGATGCATGTTTTATTTTTGCAATTCTGTGTGTCCAGTTTTAACTGAAATCAAGAACAGGCTCCTATTTTTTTCCTTCTGTTTAGATTCTTTAGTCCCTCTTGTGTCTAGTTTCTAAAATTGTAAAGTAACTTATCTTTGTTATGACTTACAATAGTCGGGATAACCAAAATTAATCCATTTCCTAGGAGAAATTATTTATTTTTCATAATTAATTCCAAAATCCTACAATGGCAATCATTATTTCAAATTTATCTTCATTTTATAACTTTCTTAGATCAATATTACGTTTAGCTTTTTCTGTTTATTTCAAATTCTTTAAGTTCTTAAGCTTATAATTAATTTTCTGTTTGTTCAGAGTTGAAGATAAACTGGCCAGTGAAGGTTTTTCAAACGTGTCATTCCAAAGAACACTAATAGATTTAAGATGGTTAATTGGCAATTTCCAAAAGTAAAGAAAAAGTGAGGTTAGTGTCCCTCAAAAGGCTTGCAAGCAAGAGGACTATAATCCCTTTGGCCATCAGTGCTAATACTCATGGAAAATAATTGTCCTCCTCTGATTGTGTGTAAAGTAGCCATCTGGAATATATGTGAGTAATCTCTCATTCTCTGTTTAACTGGAGAGATTCTAAGGGACGTGTGAGCCCATCAGTTCCTTGGTCTTTGCCATGTTCACCAGCTCCACTTTCTTTTTTTAAACAAATTTTATTCAATTTTTCACATAAAAACAAAAAAATCTTTTTAGTGGACAACATATTTCCAGGTCATCACTTTTACATACAAATATGACAGTAGTTATACATTCATATATGCATACTTAATTCTATTATTACCTTTTCCATTTCAAACTTTCCGAAAGGAGAGAAACAAGCAAATTAATCCTAGTCTCTTACATTAATCTCAATCAAAACATCTTTTCGTTCCATTTCAATTATTTCAAATATAATCCTTTAATATTTATTTTAAAAATAAAAGTAACAATATATGTTTGCCTAATAAAAAAAAAGTTACCAATGTCTCTCCTTCCTTTTAATAGTCTATATTAGCTTATTAATTTAGTTGGTTCTTTAATCTGTCATATTTTCTTTCCATCACACATTCTTTCTATAGATTCTAGGTTAATACAAGTTTTAACACAAAAGAAAAAGAAACAAGTATAGGTTTCCCCCCTTTTACTGCTTTGAGTGTGACACCTCAGTGGTTAAAATATACCTTTATTCCCCCATCTTAATTCCCAATAAACCATTATTTTTAAGTAGTTACAATAATAATCATTACATCTTTTCATTTGGATTCCACAACATATTTTCCCCCCTTAATTTTATTTCTAATTTCAAAAGAAGTAAAAGGGAAAAAATTGACTATTCAATTTCTGGTCACTGATATTAACCTCATTTTTAAACATCTTCACATCCATTTCAATTATTACAATTTCTTCAATAAACCTTAACTTTTCTTTTGAGAATAAAAATAAAGATATATATTCATCTAATAAGAGTTATCAGTATCTATCCCTCCTTTAATAATCTATATTACCCTATTTTTAAGTATTTTTTTTAATTGCAAATATATTCTTGTTACCCCTTGTCACTCTGCAGAATCCCCTTTTTAATTCATCAACCATTATCTCTGAAAAAACGATTTCTTTTCATCATTTTACTATTTCCATAGTTCTTTATTTCATGCACCTGTTTCTTACTGCCTCTCCTCCCCCTCTTTTTCCCATATCTTTTCTCATTCCGGTTTATATCCCTCTCTTTCTTGATATCTTCCTTTCCCCTTTTCTGCTGGATCTTTCTACCTCTCCTAATTTCACAGGTATTCCCCTTTTTGATTACTTTCTTAAATCTCAACTTTTTAGCCTTCCTTCTTTCCCCTCGCCTTTGTGGTGTTCTTTGTGTCAATTGTCTATTTAAGATGGCTTCTCCTTGAATCGACTCCTCCTCCTCTAAAGTTCTTTCTTCTTGTTCTTCAATCGCCATTTCCATTTCTTCTAACACAGAGCAAAGTGATTCGCCTCTTTCCTGTAGTAATTCTCTCATATTTTTGAGTTCCATTTTTAATTCACGAAGAGATATCATCATTACACACTCTTATATTTTATAATCGTTGAAGTCCACAAAAAACACTTCTACTTTCCTTCTTTCTTCTTCCAGTTTTCTAAAGTTCTCAATTGTTCCAGGCCAGGGTCTATACCAAAAACGTCAATCAATCCCACAATCAGTCTTTCCTTGCTTCTTTCTTTATTCTGGTTCAGCTTTCACTTTCTAAGGTTCTTACTTTGTTTCAATATTTCTTTAACATTATATCAACACAAGTTCATACAGAAACAGGATGCTTTCCCTTTTCTTTGGGTTCAAGTTTTTGTCAGAAGATGGCACTCTCCGTTATGCAAAGTCCTCACCTTTTTCCCTATTTTTTTATTTAGGGTTTTTCGAACCTCAATATTCCAGCACAATCCAGTCTCCAATTTGTAAATTTTATTATTATTATTTTTTGACAATCTTAAGTCCAGCTTTATTTTATGCCTGTTTATTGCCGAAATATTTTAGTCCAATTTAATTAAGTCTTTAGTTCCGGCTTCTTCCTTTCCCGGTTCGAAGCCCCGCTTAGCTGTCAAAATTATTTTCTTATTTTTTTTCCTGTCCCTTTGTATTTCCGCCACTCACTTTTCTTTTCTTAAAAGTTCAATGTTACCTAAATCCCGGGGTACTTTTTGTTTAGTTGTTTCGCCCAATTGTCCTGGTTCAGATGTTATCTACCTCTTTCTTCCCTCCTGCACAAATCTTAATCCAGCTGAGTCCTCCTCTTCGGGGTGGCCATTTTAGACCACCGCTTCAGTCGTCTTCGGGGGAAAAAGACCAAGCCCAGAAGGGGAGATTCTCCCCTCAACCTGGCTTGTGGCTTCCCCTTACTCCACCGCCCCTCCAAGGCAGCTTCAGCCCCTAATCGCAATGATCGGGGCTCTCCGACAAAAGAGCACGGACCATAGCCGCGGACAGCGAGGAGGGCTCAACCCAGAAGTTCATTCATCAGCTCCACTTTCACAGACACCTTCAGTTTGCCGTATCTCTCCTGGAGGACCTCACCATACCTTCCCCAGAAATCCCTGGATTCAGAAGCATGTTGATGTGTTTAATAACTGGAGGGCATCAGTTTGACTGTGTCTGTAGTAGAAAAGCCAGCAGTGGCCATTTTTAATACATGGTGATAAAATATTTTAGTATTCAGGAAGACTAGCACAAGCATATTGTAATGTTCCAAAAGGATTTGTTCACTTGGGTGAGAATAGAGGGTAGAAAAGAGAATTCTTAATTGGCCAAGTGTGATTGGATACACAAGGAATTTGTCTCAGGTGCATAAGCTCTCAGTGTACATAAAAGATTTAAGTGATGAATCATGATCATAGTCATCATAAATGCATTCATCATGAATCATAAGATATAACACAGTGATTGTCATAGGATACTAAATAAGCAATCAAAATCATACTAGGAAACTAAATAAAACAATATAAATTGTAAGATACAAGCAGGTTGGTAGCAATTGTTTTTTCTGCAGTTCTAATTATCAGTTGATGTCTGTGTCTGTCTTGTTTGGTTGCAGAGCCAACCAGGACAGTTATAGAGGTGCAGATGACAGTCTCAATAATTACAGAATTGTAATTGTAAATAATTGTAAATAAATACAGAATGAAATAGGAAGCACCCCTGGTGATGCATATGTGTATTGTGGATTTTAAAAAATACAGCTTATATCCCCCAAATTAACTTGCTTGAACATAATAATGAAACAGGAAAAAGCAAATGAATGAAACATATTGTCTATAGTTGGTGAAATCATCTACCTACCTACCTACCTATCTATCTGTCTATCTATCATTAAAAAATGAGCTATGTGTCTCAACAGGAAAGAAGAATAAGCTTCGAGTTTACTACCTTTCATGGTTAAGAAATAGAATATTGCACAATGATCCAGAGGTAGAAAAGAAACAAGGCTGGATCACTGTAGGTGATTTGGAAGGGTGCATCCATTATAAAGTTGGTAAGTATAAATCAATTACACAAGTACTGATGGAAGCTCTTTTGGGTGCAGAGCACATGAACTCATAAAATCAGTATTCCTACCACATAAGTCCTATGTAGCAAACTATGTTCTTGGGGCATTGGTAACAATCCCTAAATCTTCCATAGAAGCCTTGATGTGTCTAATCCAGCAATTGCAGAAACAGTTTTCTGAAACAAGATGGATGGTGATGTACAACACATCATAAATTATCCTCTACCTGATTCACAGGACCTATTATTGTGGGGGTTGAATGTGCCCATATTGGACTTGTTATGGATTGGTTGGTTTTCCAGTGTCGTTCTCAATTCATATATGTAAAATTGGACCATGAGTGAAATAGGAAGCATTGTCTTAATTTCCCAATTTCCCTAAAACATTAATCAATAAATGAATCTCTTAGTTCTTGTCAAGTAGTTGAAAACATTGCAGTGACAAGATCCACATCAAGGGGTTTTTTTGGAGGAGGGGAAGTGGTTGATTTCAATAGACTTACTTTGTTTTGGCAAAATTTGCTGAAGTTACTATTTTAAATCAATTACTTTCATTATCGTAAACAATATTTTTGGCTCACCATGTTCTAACCTTAAATCTTATATTACTTACTGAAGGAATGTAGACAGTCCTCTACTTACAAACAGGTTATGTTCCAAGAAGCTGATTGTAGGTCCATTTTGTTTGTAAGTCCAACTAAATATAAAACATGCACAGTATAGTTCATATCTTAGACAATTGTCAGGTAGGCCTTAATATCTGACGGCAATGGATGACCGAATGGGGTAGCATTCAAAATGGCATACATTCAGCCTCCCAATGTGTGAGATATGTATGCAGCACACCATAAATTAACCCCTTCCTATATTTTCCTACTTTCAGAGACCTTCTAGATTGGGGTTTGTTGGTATTGGTGAAAGTAACTAAAAAGTTTATAAGAAGTCTGTATTAAAGATAGTGTCATGTGTGAAATTACTTTTCTCAGCTTAAATCCAGTTTTCTTCCAGATACTGCATGCCTTTCTTCAAATGCCTGCATTTGTATTAATTGGAGTTCTCTAATTACTATAAAGGCTCAAAACATGTTGCCACCTTTAATTTGCTTAAGATAGGGCAACCATATGAGTGACAAATAGACAAGTAAATTAAAATGGTTGCCTTCATGTGTAAAGGATATCCAGGCTTATGAAGGAGCCTGATTCTGATTTTCTATGCTCTTTTTTTAATGATTTATTTTTGTACTTCAGTTTAGGTAAATAGGATATTTTTAAATTTTATTTTTATTTCAATTTTAGTGAAATATGAGAGAATCAAGTTCTTGGTGATTGCCTTAAAGAATGCTGTAGAGATATATGCTTGGGCTCCTAAACCTTATCACAAGTTTATGGCATTTAAGGTATGTTTTGTGTTTTGTGTCACCCCAAAAATACTCATACATTTATTAATGGGGGTTTTTTTCAGATAAAAATGTCTGTTATTCAATACTGGTATTTAGCTACCTATAGCAAATAATCACCCTTGGCAAAAAAAAACACCTCATTAGAGCCGCTTTTCTTACTCACTAAAGTTCTTAGCAAGCAAATCTGATTATGCCACTATTAAATTGCTAGCTGTGCTCTAACTGGATGCCATGCTTGATGGGGCTGCATATGTATCTGAATGTCTGTAAGATTCAGCACTTCAGTAATGTCCTGGATTTTGCAAAGATCGCAGTCCATATAGTTAGCCATTTGATTTAAGATTTAAGTGATAGCTCCTTCCATCTTAGGACAAGAGCTAGAATAATGACCCAAGCTACTCTACTACAATCTGTACATCCCAAAGAGGCCTAATGAGTACTTGGAACAATTTGATAAAATTGAACCATTTTTTTTTTCTTAGATTATTTCCCTTTTTTGACTTTTTTGTAACAATGTTGCTCTTCGCTAAGGAATTTAAAAGCAAATATTTATTTATTATTTATTTATTTGATTTGTCAATCACTTACAAGGTGATAGGTATAAGAGTAAACATGAGTATGAATACAGGAAATAGGTACGGATAAATGGGGACAATAGAACAGGGACGGTAGGCACGATGGTGCACTTATGTATGCCCCTTACAGACCTCTTAGGAATAGGGTGAGGTCAATAGTGGATAGTTTTAAGGTTAAAGGATGGGGTTTGAGGATGTAACAACAGAGTCAGGTAGTGCATTCCAGGCATTGACCACTCTGTTGCTGAAGTTGGACTTTCTGCAATCAAGTTTGGAGCGGTTTACATTGAGTTTGTATCTGTTGTGTGCTCTTGTATTGTTGCGGTTGAAGCTGAAGTAGTCATTGACTGGTAGGACATTGTAGCAGATAATTTTGTGTACTATGCTTAAGTCCAGCCATAAGGCAGTGTAGTTCTTGGTTGTCTTAAGCCCAAAATTTCAAGGCTGGTGGTGTAGGGTATTCTGTTGCAAGCAGAGGAGTGTAGTACTCTTCTCGTGAAATAATTCTGGACTCGCTCAATTGTATTAATGTCTGATATACAGTGTGGATTCCAGACAGATGAGCTATATTTGAGTATTGGTCTAGCAAAGGTTTTGTATGCCCTAGTTAGCAATTCTATATTTTTGGAGGAGAAGCTTCGTAAGATTAGGTTTACAACTCTTAATGCCTTTTTGGCAATGCTAACAGCATTGTCTTTTGATATAAGTACTCCAAGGTCCTTGACAGAGTGAGGGTCATCAATGAGGTCATATTTGCCTAGCTTGTATTTGGTGTACTGATTTTTTTTACCAATGTGTAGGACAGATAAATAAATAAATAAATAAATAAATAGTGAAAGTGCACAGCCTCGTTAGTCCAAGAACTAAATGTGCTGGGTTTGAAATGCTCGTTTCAAAAAAGAAGTAACAATGCAACTCTCAAGATCTTCTGCACCTTGGATTAAATCAGAAGCCAAAAGGGATTCCTATTTAGCTGTAGATACCCCTTTAATCCTAAAATCCTCTTTCTGTTCAGTTTTTAAGTGTAACAAAAGCTATAGAATTGTTGCAGCAGGGATGGGGGCAGAATTCAAGTTTCTTCTCCAGTCTGTATATCAGAACGTAATAAATAAATCACCCTGGTAGCCCTTGGAAAGTACAGTTTTCTTAAAGGGATTAAGAAATTCTTGTTCATGCATTGTGTGGAATGGGCTCACTCTCAAAAAAATCCTTCAAAATAAAGAAGCAAAACTCCCATGGAACTTTCCTATGGAATTTTAGACCTCCTTGCAATAGATCAATATATTTTAAAAAGCTTAATTTTGTCTAAATCTGCAGAGACTGTAAACTTGTAGACATAGAAGAGCACATTTTTAAAAGGAGAATATCAAACTGTCGCTTTGTTGCCACTGAATCCTAATTATTAAGATATTTATTTAATTTTTTTGCTTCTCACCAAAGAATCAACATATTAAAAATGTTAATTTTGTCTAAATCTGCAGAGACTGTAAACCAGTAAACATAGAAGAGCACATTTTTAAAAGGAGAATGTCAAGACTGTTGCTTTGTTGCCACTGAATTCTAATTATTAGGATATTTATTTACTTATTTTGCTGCTCACCCCAAAAAAATTCACTGAGAGGATTTTAAAAGTCTTTTGCAGATCTTCAGCACAAACCATTGCTTGTTGACCTCACAGTAGAAGAAGGACAAAGGTTGAAAGTCATCTTTGGGTCACATACTGGTTTTCATGTTATTGATGTAGATTCAGGCAATTCTTACGACATCTACATACCATGTCATGTAAGTCTGAGGCTGCTCTGTGGTTACTTTTGTGAATGGGATGGGCAGGAAACCATAATAGTCTGATCCCATTTAGCCATAATTATTACTGATTGGATCTGTATTGTCTGTAAAGTCTTTGTTTCAAATTCTGTCATCAAAAGAAATAATTCAGCTGTAGAAACCTCTGGAGGGTCTTTATGATAGCTATAGCTTTGGAATGTCCTGCTGCAGAAAACTCTTCGTACTGTTTCCATTTATAGCTACATAATTTCTAACATTGAATGCTGCTGTTCAGTGCTGCTTCCATTTTTAACTGAATTGGATATTTAATTTTGTTTTATTAGTTAAAGAATCTTTTTTTTTTTGCCCACAAACAGCTATGAACATGTTTTTGCAAACTAGCAGAATAGCATATCGAATATAAAATGCAATTAAGTGGAACCACTTAAGCCAGAATTTCTCTGCTAATATTAATGGATTTAAACAAGAATATATCCAAATATGTGTCTCAGATATTAAACAAACTTAATTTGAGCCTGAGCTTTAAGAAGCTTCCCGTTATTCCCAGAGCTCTTATACTTTGTCAGCCAAGTTTTGATAAACCTTCTGTCTTATGAGTAGACTATAGCATAACTCTGGCAAGCTTGTCAGAAGACATAGCCAATGTGCGGTCAGAAATCCTGCAAGCACATATATAATATGTAATATTATAATATCACTGGACTGGTGATTGATCTGCTTATTTTCCAAAGGAAAGTGACCTATACCAAAGCAAGTTGGCTCTTCTTATCCTGAAAATGTGACTTAATGTTGATTTGGGGGATCTTCTGTTCTATATACAGATTCAGGGCAATATTACACCTCATGCCATTGTCATCTTACCCAAGACGGATGGAATGGAAATGCTTGTGTGCTATGAGGACGAAGGGGTATACGTTAATACCTATGGACGCATAACAAAAGATGTGGTGCTTCAGTGGGGAGAAATGCCCACTTCAGTGGGTATGTCAGTTCTTCCTCCTCCTTCTCCTCCTCCTCCTCCTTCTTCTCTTTAAAGGCAAAGAAAGCAGTGACATAGATTGATATATTTAGAGTGAGGTAAGCAAGAATTACGCTGTCAAATTGTGGTGTTGGAGAAGACTCTTGAGAGTCCTTTGGACTGCCAGGAGGTCAAATCAGTCAATCAATCCTGACTGTCCTTTGGAAGGACAGGTACTGAAGCTGAAGCTCAAATGCTTTGGCCACCAAATGAGAAAAGAGGACTCATAGGAAAAAACCTTGATGTTGGGAAAGACTGAAAGCAAAAGGAGAAAGACATGGCAGAGGATGAGATGGTTAAATAGAGTCTTCAATGGAGCAGTGGAGGACAGGCAGCCTGAGGTACTAAGGTCTATCGGGTAGTGAAGAGTCGGACATACTTTAGCAACTGAACAATAGCAAAGTTAGAATTAGCTATTTTCCTATATTTTAATGATGGAATCAGGTTGATGTCTTGAACTTTGACCCTCTGACATTTCCATTGTGAATAATAATACCTGCTGGGGAAGCCATTTTGTTTTTTAATCAGAATATATTACAGAATGTTTATGAGTTGTCTGTTTGTTTCTTTTATGACAAGCCTATATTCACTCCAATCAAATAATGGGCTGGGGTGAGAAAGCTATTGAGATACGATCAGTGGAGACAGGCCATTTGGATGGAGTATTTATGCACAAGCGTGCCCAGCGGTTAAAATTTCTATGTGAAAGAAATGATAAGGTAAGTCTATTTTCAGGACTCTTAACTGCTTGGAGCCATTGTTCTCGAATCAGAGTGGATAGCCTCCACCCCCCAAGTGTTCTAACTCATTAGTTCTACCTGATTATGGGGATTTTATTTTAGAAACATATGTTCTGTACTAACATCTGGAGGAGCCAGAATGTTAGTCCACATCCTTCTCCCCAATACTGAACACTTGTTTGTTCTGAACTTCACAATCTCCCGATGTGCAGATTTTACATTTAGAATTCTCAGCAAAAAGCCATGCTTGCTGGGGAATTCTATGTTCTGAAGATATTACATCCCTTAAACGTTCTTTAAAATAGGCTGATTTATCTGCTTTGTTATTTGAGAGATACGCTGTAAAAATAAACAAGCATCACCTGCTTCCAGGTGTGAGTCAATTCAGAGTCTAAAATTCTGTAATCTATGTTTCAGTGTTGCATGGTTGCTAAACAGACACACGTGAAAAGCTTGTTTTGCTTAAAAAAAAATAGGAGCAAAGCTTTTTTTTCTTTTTAATAAAAAGAAATATATGAAACATTTGAGTACCACTCCACACAAAGAAATATTTCTTCCAGGTATTGCAAAACGCTCTGAAAACATGTTCTCATTTTATAAGAGGTCACATTTTTCACGCAATGTGGACTTACAAATAATTTCCAAATTTGAAAAGTAAAACATCAAGAGTTAAATGTACATAAATCCTACTGATAGCCCTCACACCCAAAATAAGCTTGTATAATCTCAGTCATTGAAAGAATCCAAAGGACTTCCAATATTTTATCAGATTCTCTCTTCAAAAAAGTATTAACAAGAGGCAGAGAAGTTTCTTTTTGAAAAATAAACATCCCCAAACCCAGCCCTTCTAAGGAAGATGAAAATTCTTGCAATCATCTTCTTCTATCCCAAACCCAATTTACAAAATATCCCTATTCAATAAAGTAATTAATATAACTATAGATTTTGCACTGATTTCCCTGATATCCATGGAGACTTTCAATCATCCAGGCCATGATTGACCCAAAGGTGGTTTTCCAAAAAGCAACTAGACTCTCTTGGTTTTTTTTTCCTTGAAAACATTTCGCTTCTCATCCAAGACTGAATGGTGGGGAATAGAAGGATTTATATTCTTTGCAGTCATCTGGTAATTAGCACTGATATAATCAGCTTGGTGCCCTCTATCACATATTGTATGGGAATTCTGGGAGTGTGGTCCAAAGACAGGGAGAATAGTTTTAAAAACTTATTCTGAGTTTTTTAAGATAAAAAGAGCAGACTGAATTGTTTAAACAAATAATCAAATGGAGAAATTTAACACATACATTTAATTAAGTCTCTGAGTCCTTCTGATTAAATACAGTATATGGAAGGAGGAAGAAATTGTGGGTTTTTTTTTTTTCACTTATATTTGATCAGAATGCTTTCTTTCCAAACAGGTATTTTTTGCATCGGTAAGATCAGGAGGAAGTAGCCAAGTATTTTTCATGACCCTGAACAGAAATTCCATGATGAACTGGTAACGAAAGGGCACTTGGTGCTTATTTTGATGCTAAGATCTATTAAATTTTGAAGGACATCTGAATTTGCAGAGTTACATTGTCAAAGCAAGCAAAGAAGAAGATATTGTGGATCCTGTAGCTTTCTTCGGGACCACCGTCTGCTCATGCAGCCACATTCTGAGAACACGAACACAGTTTTCCCATAAGGATTTCAGAATGCAGGCTTCTTCAAGATCCCAAGAATGCAACACTGTTTGAGCAGGGAAGGACCAACGCTGAAGAGGTTTAGCTGAATAAATCTCTCTAAGGTGTTCAAACTAAGCTGTGATAATAGAATCGGCTCTAGGGTTTTTAAAAATAATTATTATTATTTTTCCTTGATCCTGAGTTTGTAAGAATAGAGACTGGTCTTAAAGTTAAAACAGAATATCTGTTTTAATAATGTCTGCCTGTTAGCACCGATTATATAGTATGATGTAAGGCAGATCCCCCTGACCTGGTGTCTTTTAGGTGTGGTGGACTGGAGCTCCCATGATCATGGCTAGTGAGCCAAATGGGGTATGTTGGTTTGGAATGATGGGAGTTGTAATTAAACACATCTGTGGAAGTTAGGCTGAGAACTGCTGTTATAAAGTTATCACTTAAAACTGATGCAAGAGAGCACAATAAATGTACCATTTTTAATCTTTGTGTGAGAGGCCCTAACCATAGAGTGGCCATATTTTGTAAACTCTTTTTTCTTTTATGGACATTTGTGTGGGGATTATTTTGTTGTGGTTGTTTTTATTTTGTTTTGGTTTTTTTTGAAAACAGGTCAAGATATTTCAGATAAGAGTATAAATGAGATTTTGTCCCATTCCTTTGGGAAATTTAAGTGGCTAGACTCCTAGCTTTGGAGAATATAATATGAGCATGATAGAGTTAACTTTTTGTCAATCTTTCAGTTCATACTACTTCTTCCCCAGCCTGGCCATCTCCAGATGGGATGAGATGCCACCTCCCCAGATTCTCAGCCAGCAAGGTCATAAGCCAAATATGTCTGGCTGATCAATGCTCTTCTTTATAGATCTTTGCATAATGGTGCTCATTGATTAAAAAAAAACAAAAAAAACAGCAGTGCCATTCTTGTTAGTCATTCCCACTGGTTGCCTTTCTCCAAGCTGTAACGAAACGGTATCTCTAAATGGGAAGCTAATTGAAATATTGTAAGATTCCAAAGATTGGCTAAAGAATGCCCCTAGTAGCTTGATACATAAGGCATCTTAACTCGGATGTGTTTGAATCCAAATCATACCTATTCTGTACAGTTGTGCTTTACTTCGGGGGATTAGGGGGCATGATCCTTGTAGATACTGGTACGTTTTATTTCTTCCACTAAAAATTACAAAGAGACGACATCATTCCGATATTCCCAAGTTGGAAGTCCCAAATACAGATCAGTATTTTTTAATCTAATGGTGTTCTATTCTCAATATGGAAAATCTTAATAAAATATTCATCTCTCGGTACAAAGAAGTGCAGGAGAAGGAGAGCAGATTAAAGGAAGGTTTCATTGGTCAGTTACCTGACATTTAGATTTCATCTTTCTGCCCTTCGCCCATGTACCCATCTGTATAATGACCAACAAATGTGCAGAAGTATGTATGTTTTTAGTTTGAATTTATCTCTGTCTTTATATGCTTTGTTCAAATTATTTGTATTTTTAAATTCATTATTTCCACTGCCTCCAAGCCTGAATTCTCCCCCTGATCTCTGGATATAACATAATTGGATCTGTTTTGCTATTTTTAACCTACCTCATTTTATTTCTTATTTCTGTTTTTCTTTTCCTTATTAGCTCCCATAGATACTCGGAGAGTTTTAACTGGCCAGTCCAAGAAATAGCTGAGTATTCTGCAGAGGCCAGGTTTTTGAGAAGTGGAAAATTAACATCAAACTCTCTGTTTCCATTTCCCTCCCGCCCCTTTCAACCATTTCATAACTTCAGAATTTTGATCGTATATGCCAGTCGATGCTACTGTAGTCACAATGCATTGGTCCATGAGAGCAGTTGGCAAAGTCAACTGTCAAGAGAGGCTACCCCAAATTACTGGAAGCCAGGAGCTCAGAACATATTGCTATCATTGTGCATACATGAAGTTATGAGTTACAAGCTCAGTTAGTCTATGTTACACTTGAAAGTCATCAGAAGTCACTGACTTCTTGTAAATAGGCTTTCTGGATAGACATATGCAGCTGGATGGGAGAAATAATTGATATCCTTCTTAATGATACATTCCATCAGAAATAGACTCATGTTTGTCATCCCCATTCAACTCTATCTCACTACCTGGCCTAGAGAGATGATGGTGATAGCAGTGCTGGTGATATGTACAACCAGATGAACCTTTCAGGTTAAGCATGCTTTGTCATTAGTATTCAACATAATTGGTGCTTCCAAACTTTCTGAAAAAGTCTTGCTGGGCACCTTTAACACTTCATACTGTTTGGTGGCTTTTCTGTAATAAAACATGGCGGGAGGAGTTGGTGATCTTCTGTGACAGAAGATCTATGTCAGAGGATCTTGTTTCTCTCCCCTTTTAAAAAGGGGCTAATATACAGAGTCAGACTCCCAACATTTGACACATGATCTCCAAGATGAACATTCAAACCCACTCTGCATGTATTCTGAGCTTCAAAATTGCACTCAGTCCATTTTTGGCTGAGCTCACAAAAGGGTTTAATTAGGATTCTTTCATTATGTTATTTAGTTAGGGTTTTGCAAGCCTGACGTTAATCCAACTTCTACAGATCAAATGATTAATTTATAGTCAATCATTACAACCAGAAAATTCCGTAACTTGATCTATAAAGGAGAGACAGCTTGGGCTAGAAACCAGGAGACCATGAGTTCTAGTCCTGCCTTAGTACAAAGCAACCTGGGTCACCTTAGGCCAGTCACATGGTTGCAGCCCTTGTAAGGAGGCAATGGCAAACCACTTGTAAAATCTTGCCAAGAAAACTACAGGGACTTACTGAGGCGGTCACCAGGAGACTGGCTCAAAATTAGATTTCTTGACATTACTTGCTAATGTCTTCTATAGCCTTGGACTTTCCTGGCTTCCATCTACATACAAAATCTGTACTGATTTTTGTGGTCAGCCAAGGTCAGCCAATGAAATATGCAAGTAATTTTAACAATAGATGTTTATCTCTACGTACTGCTACCGAGCCTCAAATGCTCTCCACTACTTGGCCTCTTTGCTTTTGCCTCAAAAAATGATTTAATGGAATCATATATACTTTTAAAAAAATGAAGTTCTGCACTTGAAGGAGAATATGGAAAATAATAAAATTAGATGCTGGAGAGAGACCTATCAGAACTTGCCTCAAAGATAGAAAATAAATACAATCAAGCAAATATGTGGCAGTATGTCTGAATCTATGGACCATTTTCTTCCAATGGAAGATACAAGCAAGGCATCTCTGTTAATATAAAGATTTGCCCACCCTTTGCCTTCCATTGTCATTGACCTAATTTTTTAATATAGAGCTTAAAATCGGTGCTGAAAAAGGGAGGACTCACCACATACCAACCACCAGCACTTTTTTAACTTCAGTGCTTTTTGTGTTGGCACCCAATGGAACTCTACTGAAAACATAAGATAGAGGTTTCCATATGTTTGCTCAGCATCGTGCCAATTAATAAATGGCATTCCACACAAGGTATTTGTGATACTCCAGAACCATCTCTGGACCTATCCAATTTCATGACCTCAGGTATCTTAAGAACCAAGTTGATGTTTTGCTGGTTCAGCTGCAATATGTCCACATTGCATCAAAAACTGTTCTTTTCATTGGTGTTCCAGTATTGGGGATAACCTTGGATTAATTTTATGTCCCACCTTCTTCCTTTCCTAGCCCCCAGATGTTCAGCAGGAATACCATTCTCTGTGTTTTAAGGTTAATGACGTGAACATGATTATGAGTCAGCTTCAAAACTCTTTTGAGGGGGGGCATGGGACTAGAGAGCTGAAACAACAGGCAAGCAGCAATGCTATTAGTACTGTAATAATGAACAATTGTTAGAATAAAGAGTCACCAACATTTAGGAACATTGTCACTTAAGCAAAAGAAGTTATTGAAAACTTTAGCAGCATTTTGCATCTGACTAGGCAAGTACAATAAATCACCCTTGCACCAACCTGGTGTCCTCCAATTGTCATTCCAAAAATTGCTGGTTTCAGTTCAATGATGTATGAGAATTCTGGGACCAACCCATTTGGGGGGTACCTGATTGAGGAAGACTTAATCCGTATTTACCATTTGTCATTCTTAGTAGCTGAAATAGAATGTTTCACAAAGTGATCTGAGCTATGTAGTGTTCATTGCCAAATTGAGCAATCCAAGCTAGACAGCTTGAGGCCTAAGGTCCATTTTTGCAAAACTTACCCACACATCCATATAACCTTATCAGAATATTCTTAAAGGCATACCCATCTCTTCCCCACCCCCCATGTTATTATACCATTATTCTTCCAAAGTATGCGAAACATAGACCAAAATCACTTGGCTGGATCATTTTCAAATAACAAGATTCTCAGTTGGAGTCCCCTATTCACACATCCCATCCCCCAGTGCTCCTTGTGCTTCTTCCTTGCTGCTAAAATTAGAAGGTCCTCCAAAGAAAACAACTTTATATTCCATACATCAAATTGAGCAATAACATTTCCAACTCAGTTAAGTCTACAAGTGTAACTTCTGGGGACTGGTTTGAGTAAGAGCAAGTTTCATAACAACTACCACCAGCTCTTTTATGTCTTTGGTGTGGTTACCTTTTAAACCAGAAGCTTCTTATTAAATTATGTTGAAAACATGAGTGAGTTGTTTGTGTTGTGTGTGTTTTTTCATTCAGAAAACAAAAAAGCTTCAAGCATTGGGTTTAAATAATGAAAGTCCAAAGGAGGAGGCCTAAATTATTGTACTATTTATTTATTTAGGGTATGTAGAAAGTTAGCATCCACCCCTCCCCTAGAAGAATGAAAAAGGCAGAATAATATATTTTCCTAAAGGAGGAATGGAGAGACATGCTCTTGGAGACAGAAAGCAGCTGCCACCTTTCTTAATATCCCCTCAGCAGATGTCAGCACTTAAGCTGTAGCTCTATTCATAGGCAAAACAAATACTGCAGGTACAAATCCATTCAAGACAGGGTATTTTAAAATTCCCTGCAGTAGGGTCTGAACAAAGGTAGGATTATCCTTCAGCCACAATAGGAATTGCCCAACACCCCTTCATTGCATCACTCTCAGAAACTTCAATCAAACCTAGCTCAAACACCTAAAATTTGTACTTTGCCGATAGAGCCAGCTATAACCCCTTCATAATCCTTGCAACAGTCAATAGAATGCATGTTCTTGCATAGGAACAGGAAGCTCAAGTGCAAAGCCTAAGAGAAGCTATAAAAAAAATCCAACACTCAACTCCATGTGGAGAGCTGCACCTGAACCCGTGTGGTTCTGTTCATCATTAAACCATCTTTCCAATCAGCCTCCATGATTCCAGTATCTTTCTCCCAGCTTGGAACTGAACCAGATGAATATTTCTTTCCACAAGTGTGACACATCATACTAGCAATAGAAATTAACATTTCTACTAAATGAGTAGAACCCAGTAAAATATAAATGTTAAAAAGATCTATGTTCACATATCAATGCCTGGGCCATCTAACCATTGAAGCATAGCACTGTTTATTTTTTTAAAAAAAAACAGATACTGGACTGTAAGCCCTCAGCTTACAGCTAGTCACGATGTGATCTACAGTTTGACATGGGACCCTGCAGTCACACCGAGGGGAAGATACTATGCCCCATTTATACAGAGAATCCTGGCAGACACCATGTGAGGTGCGAATCCTGTTCAGGATTGTTCATTGCTGATGTGATAATTCAAAGCCCGGTACCTTTTTTGTGGGGTCATTTATATGTCTTCCTATAACTGAGTGTTCAGTGACCCATTTGGATTATCATGCTTTGGATACATTATATAAAAACCCAGCTCTCTGGAGAAGGCTTTAATGCTGGGAAAGGTGGAAGGAAGGAAAAGGAGAGGGCAAACTCAGGAGCAATAACAACAGCACTTAGACTTATGCTTTACAGCCCTCTCTAAGCAGTTTACAGAGTCAGCATATTGTCCCCAACAACTTGGGTCCTCATTTTACCCACCTCAGAAGGAAGGCTGAGTCAACATTGAGCCTGGTGAGATTTGAACTGCAGACAGCCAGCAGTCAGCAGAAGTAGCCTGCAGTACTGCACTCTAACTACTGTGCCACCATGGCTCGTAAGTGCAAGATGGATGCACTCAGTTACAACAGCAATGGATGCACTGTTAGAAGGCCTGAAGAACCAAGTTGTGAACAGATGGTGCTGGAGAATATCTGTCTTCTTTGGTTACTAAAAACTGACACTTGACTTGCTGCCCATAATCAGTTTTTAAAGAAGAGAATGAGAAGTTTGGAATTGGCAATCATTAAAAAGCACCGGAAGAAGGCTTGGAATAAAACAAGAGCTAAAATATGTTTTCAGCTCCTAATTCAGTCTTCTGCAATTTAGTAGACTTCAGATTGCTGTACCAGAACTCCCATCATCTTCAATTCCATTGAATATTCAATCTTTTTTTAATTTTTTTAAAAAAACTTTATTGAAAATTAACATATTAAAATATACAGGTGAAACTCGAAAAATTAGAATATCGTGCAAAAGTTCATTTATTTCAGTAATGCAACTTCAAAGGTGAAACTAATATATGAGATAGACTCATTACATGCAAAGCAAAATAGCTCAAACTGATTTGTCATAACTGAGATGATTATGGCTTACAGCTCATGAAAACCTCAAATCCACAATCTCAGAAAATTAGAATATTGTGAAAAGGTTCAATATTCTAGGCTCAAAGTGACCCACTCTAATCAGCTAATTAAGCTATAACACCTGCAAAGAGTTCCTGAGCCTTTAAATGGTCTCTCAGTCTGGGTCAGTAGGAATCACAATCATGGGAAAGACTGCTGACCTGACAGTTGTGCAGAAAACCATCATTGACACCCTCCATAAGGAGGAAAAGCCTCAAAAGGTAATTGCAAAAGAAGTTGGATGTTCCCAAAGTGCTGTATCAAAGCACATTAATAGAAAGTTATGTGGAAGGGAAAAGTGTGGAAGAAAAAGGTGCACAAGCAGCAGGGATAACGGCAGACTGGAGAGGATTGTCAGGAAAAGGCCATTCAAAAGTGTTGGGGACTTTCACAAGGAGTGGACTGAGGCTGGAGTCTGTGCATCAAGAGCCACCACACACAGACAGATCCTGGACATGGGCTTCAAATGTCATATTCCTCTTGTCAAGCTGCTCCTGAACAACAAACATCAGAAGCGTCTTACCTGGGCTAAAGAAAAACAGAACTGGTCTGTTGCTCAGTGGTCCAAAGTCCTCTTTTCTGATGAGAGCAACTTTTGCATCTCATTTGGAAACCAAGGACCCAGAGTCTGGAGGAAGAATGGAGAAGCACACACTGCAAGATGCTTGAAGTCCAGTGTGAAGTTTCCACAGTCTGTGTTGATTTGGGGAGCCATGTCATCTGCTGGTGTTGGTCCACTGTGCTTCATTAAGTCCAGGGTCAATGCAGCCATCTACCAGGAGATTTTGGAGCACTTCATGCTTCCTTCCGCAGACGAGCTTTATGGGATGCTGACTTCATTTTCCAGCAGGACTTGACATCTGCCCACACTGTCAAAAGCACCAAAACCTGGTTCAATGACCGTGGGATTACTGTGCTTGATTGGCCAGCAAACTCACCTGACCTGAACCCCATAGAGAATCTATGGGGCATTGCCAAGAGAAAGATGAGAGACATGAGACTGAACAGTGCAAAAGAGCTGAAGGCCGCTATTGAAGCATCCTGGTCTTCCATAACACCTCAGCAGTGCCACAGGCTGATAGCTTCCATGCCACGCCGCATTGAGACAGTAATTGCTGCAAAAGGGGCCCAAACCAAGAACTGAGTACATATGCATGCTTATACTTTTCAGAGGTCCAATATTGTTCTATATACAATCCTTGTTTTATTGATTGGATGTAATATTCTAATTTTCTGAGATTGTAGATTTGGGGTTTTCATGAGCTGTAAGCCACAATCATCACAATTATGACAAATCATGGCTTGAACTATCTTGCTTTGTATGTAAAGAGTCTATCTCATATATTAGTTTCACCTTTTAAGTTGCATTACTGAAATAAATGAACTTTTGCACGATATTCTAATTTTTCAAGTTTCACCTGTATACAAATTAGAATTAGAATTCTTTATTGGCCAAGTGTGATTGGACACACAACATTTCACCATGGTTTTCTTGACAGTACAAAATCTTGGCTGTACATTTTAAGTGTCCATCTATTTCAACAGATTCTCATTGATCATACAAGTATACAATGTATATATATATTCTTTTTAAACTATATCTTTATGTTTTGCTGTCTTGGATATTGGTACCAATTATTCCAAATTATATAGCACTCCGAGTGCTCTTTGTTATTCAGTCCCATGGTGAGTCCATTTCTGTGCATTTAAAATTTTTACGAATTATTACCCCATCTGACAGTGTGGTAGACATTTTCCAACCTTGTGCTAGTGAATATTCAATCTTATTCCTCCACATGTATTGGACTTCAATATTTACCAACATATTTTTTTGCTTTCTGGAGATTAGGAGAGCTGAATGGAGAGCGACAGTTTATAAATGGCCTTAAATTTATCTGGAAATGAAAAGGCAGTCAAAAGCTCCCAAATAGTGTGTTAATGGCTATTGGTGTTTCCTAGTAATGTGCTATCCAGGAGCACATGGCAATGAGATCTGAAGTAGAGATAGGCCAGGAGCAAGGGTGGGATTATCCTGGTTCAAACGAGTTCAGGTGAATCTCTAGCTCTGACAATCAGCTTTTGAGTGAACCGGTTCTCTCCGACGATTAAGTCAGCCCATCCACCTGCCCCTGTGCTGTACTTACCTATATCCTCTCAGCTGTATTACTCCCCAGGAGTAACATAGAAGGTAAGTAATTTTAAAAGTTGCCCAGATGCACAGAGTGCACATCAGGAGCACACGTACACGAAGCGTGCGATCACCGAACTGGTTGTTAAACCGGCAGCATCCCACCACTGGCCAGGAGTTCGTAACTGAGTGATTTCTGGCTGATCTGCATAACAATCTTGCAAGCTGGGAGGGGAAATTTTAAGTCTGTAACCAAAGTTGATCTTCTGTACATGGATGGGGGGGGTGATGTGCTTAAAGGCTAGGAGAGTAGCTGAAGTAAGCTAAGTGTATTTTCTAGAATTTCCTTTATAATCTTGAGTTAAAATAAGCAGAGTGATGTGGCAAAGGGTTCCCTGAATATCAAAAGTTAGAAAACGTTTTTCCCTATGAAATTAATAGTATTGTAATAATAATGATTTAGAAGATTGGGAAAGAATGTGGAACAACAAATATACATTAACAAGATCAGTGACCTATAAAGAAAATATGTACAAGATGTTCTATCATTGGCATTTGCCACCAATGAGATTGGCCAAAATGTATTCTAACATGAATCTTACATGCTGGAAATGCAAACGGAACCAAGGTACCTTCCATCATATGTGGTGGTCATGCCTGGAAACCCAAAAATACTGGATCAAAACATGGAGTAGGATACAAGAGATAGTGGAAGAGCAAATAGAATTTAAACCAGAGTTGTTTCTGTTGGGAATAATTAAAGGGAAGTATAGGAAGAAGATTAAATATATTCTACTACATATTTTGACAGCAACAAGGATAATATATGCACAATGTT